AGGGAGAGACTAGAGAGGCAGCCAGCCAGAGAGGAGACATGGAGTGAGCAGGAAAACTCTGTGGGCAAGAGGGTGTGGGCCCAGCCTGGGGCTCCTGGCTGGCCTCATTTTTCCTTTCTCTCCTGTCCATAGCAAGGTTTATTCTGTGGGCAGCAGAGAGAGGGGCGAGGGCGATGGCACTTCCTGTCTGGGAGAACTTGGTAACTTGCTGTGTGCAGGTGCTCCACCTGTCCTGCCTCTTGCCGCGCACCCAGGTGGGGAGCAGGTGCCCCTGCCCTCCCACCTCCCAGGGAGGCACTGAGTGAAGGCTGGCTCTGGGTTCCGGCATCCACAGTGCACCCTGGAGGCCCTGTGGCTGACCAATGGACATCCCAGCTTGGCACTCTGTCCTGGCTCAGCACTCCTGGGCCAGCAGTCCACCCAGATGAGTGGGTGAGCTGAGCTCAGAGCTGATGCACAGCCCACCCCTATAGCCCACTGTGTGAGTCACTGGGCAGAAGGAGGAAGGAGAAGGTAGAGAGGAGGAGAGAGAGGCAGGGGAGGACAGGGAGCAGGGCAAGGAGCGGGCTTCTTGTCCCATGTGTTCCAAGCATGGCCAGCACGCAGCATGCCCGGGATGTGGACATTTCAGGCAGAAGGGAGTGTCCCACTGTTCTCCGCTCTTGAATTTCTGTTTCCTTGAAGCCCTCCAGAGTGAGGAGAAAGAATCTTAGTTGGACTGAGGTCTGGGTCAGTCATTACTGCTGCACCACTCTGACAATTCACTTCTCTGCTCTGCCTTGATTTCCTCATCTGAGACTAGGGGAACAGGAGCAGAGTCAGGGGTATGAACTGAGCACTGGCTGCCTGGCTCTCACAACAGAGAGTCTCCCTGCATCTTCTTAGATGCACAGGTCCTGCTGAGAGCGTGGTGATGGTGATGGAGAAGATGTTAGACAATGTTCTAAAACTTATTGCTCTCCTTATAGAAGGCCACAGCACATGCCAGGAAGGTGGCTTTGAGTTGCAGAGGTTCTGTGGTACATCCAGGAGAAGGACCAGAGGACCTACCCAGCCACAGCCACAGAAGTCAGGGAGCATCCCTGCCAGGCTAGAGAGAGCTAAAGGGAGAAAGGATGGGAGAAAGAACCAATTAGGGGCAGAGAGAGGACCCCAGAATTGCGGGGCCCATGTCTCTATTTCCAGGGAGAGTCTGTATTTACTGAGCATTTGCTATATGCCTATCCTGGCCAAGGACTTGCCAGGCATTGTCTCGTTAAATCCTTAGACAGGTAGGTACTAGTGTCACCTCATTTTGTAAAGGAAACCAAGGTTTAGAGAGGTGAACAGTTTGCTGAGATGAGGCAGAACTGGGGCTCGAATGCTCACACTGGGCTACAGAGCTTGCCTCCCACTTTTCAGGTTCTGCTGCTGCCAAAGCTGGTGACAGACCCAGGGAGAGTGACAACCAGGTATGCTCAGGCCTGCGGGTGACTGTGGCAGGGGGCACTCAACCCAAGGGACCCTTTTCCAGGAGATAATGCAGTAAACACCTTCCTGGACTGCACCAGAAACTGGCAGGACTGGGAACCTGCTGAGGACACAGATACGGATAGGTCACATTCTCAGCCCCAAGGATGCCTGTGAGCCTTGAAGTGTGTGACCAGTGGTGACTAAACTTGAGCTCAGAGTTGCAGTGGCTCAGGTGGGGACTGTGTGGAATTGAGCCTTCCACTTCTGTCCTTCTGGAGAGACATCTGTGTCCTTAGGATGCGTGTAGCCAGGCAGCAGGCTGAGAATGGCATGTCCCCAGCCGCCCTCTGCATACTGTCACATTCTCCATATTGCAGATGGGATAAACGAGACTGGTTCATCCATCGCCATGTGACAGGTAAGTGCCAGGCTGAATGTAAACTTGGACTGGCTAGACTCCCACATCAGTGCTCTTTAGCATTCCATGCTCCGCATGACGAGAGCTCTGGCCAGGACTTCCAGGCTGGGTGGGGGACACCTAAAGAGGACACTGCACCTCAGGCTGAAAAATTGGGACAGGGGAGCTGCTGGGAAGCATCTGACCCAGAAGACCGTCAGGTGAAATCCATCCACTGGCTCAGCCAAGGTTTGCAGCAGCCGGGCACTCAGCGGACCCAGAGAGGGACAGAAGAGGCTTAGGACAGGAAGCAGGGATGGCTATGTTCCAGGGCAGCACCCAGGGAGACAGGAGAAGCCAAGGCCACAAGGTAGATGGATCTGCTGCCTGGGGTGAGGTGGTGGCAGAGAATACTCCAGCACCTCAGAAACATGTTCGTGTATCACTTGCTTAACAGATTTCTCTGCACTGGCTCTGTGATAGTGCTGTTTGAGGGACTGGAGACCCAGAGTGAGCAAAACAGACTTGGTCCCCACCCTCTCAGAACCCAAAACCCACATCTAAGGCTAAATGCTTTGGGATCATCACACAGCAACCCATGTTAGGAAATGAGCAATGGTCAAGGGGTCAGGGTGACCAGTCAGGATAATTATGGCAGTGACAGAGGGTCCCTTGGAGGCTGTGATGTGTGATCAAAAGCCTCAGGGTTGGAGTGAGGTTCATGGGTGTCTAGACTAGGGCATCCCAGGGATGAAGGATATTGTTCTTATTCTGATGAATTGGAACCCTAGGAGTATAACGTCGCACTTAGGTTTGTAGGGACCCCTCTGCTGTCTGGGTGGAGAGTGAAGAGGAGGAAGGCAGGAGACAGGCCACAGGAGGAGGAAGGCAGGAGACAGAGGCAGCCAGTTCAAGTGGGAGTCAAAGAGGGAGGGAAACAGATGGAGTGGGTGTGTGGTGTCACAGCGCAGCCGGTGGGGGCAGTTCCTGGAAGGATGGTGCTGGTCACCAGTGTTAAATTTGCTAACAATCAGGGAAGATGAAGCTTGAGCTGGTACTGTGGGACTTGGGAACCAGAGTGGTGTTAGGACAAGGGGTAAACGGCAGTGAGGAAGAAGGGGCAGAGCCTGTGGCCTTCTGGGGGCTGGGAAGAGGCTCCTGACCCCCATCCCTCCCTTCTCCTCTGCTTCCTCTTCCTTCTTTTCTACCTGGGAGACCCTGGGGTGTGATGGACTGCAGAGACAAAGAATCCCCCCAGAAAGAAGTCCTGGAGATCAAGGGTAGGGTGGTGGCTACAGAGGGCTGAGGAGATATAAGGTTCCAGAGGCTGGGAGTAAAGAGTGGCCACCACAGGTAGGGACCCTTTCCTTAGAAGCCCTGGCAGGTGCACAGTTGCCTCCATAGCCCCCAAGTCTCCTGTAAGCAGGAGATTCCTGTCTGAGAAGGGGACAGGCAAGGACCGGTGAAGATAGGGCAGGAAGAGGAGGTGAGCCTTGGGATGTCTCAGGGGCCCTGGGGACTGGCTGCCTGGAGACCTCTCAGCTGGGAGGTCAAGTGTGCCTTCCAGGAGGACAGAAGTGGCGCTTGGGGCAAGGCTGGAGGGAGGGAACATGGTTGGGGGTGGTGGAAAGGTGTGAGAAGCTGGGCAGGAGCAGGGACAGGGGTGAGTGTGCACATGCACACAGGTGTGGAGGCAGACTTGAGGTTAGATCCTGCATGGCCTCTCCGCCCTGCGGATGGTTGAATGCATGAGACAATCCTTAGGAAAATGGGGGAGGGGTTCCCAGGACTTCCATTTACAAAGCTTCCTACATCATCCCTCTGCAGTTCTACTTCTTCCATGTGTCACACCATGTGATATGTCATACCAGTGTGGGTCCCATGCTGCAGGTAGGTAAACATGTGCATTTTGGGGAGCAAACCCCACCAAATGGACATGAGATTTAAACAACCCTGAAACCACAGGGGCAAGAGTATCCTCCTATGTCCCACAGGGAATACTCTCATCTCTAGTTGGCTCCACTCTGCGGAATGTCCCTGCACTGTGTCCTTTTCCCTTGGCGGATCCTACTTAGGGGGCCCAGCCAGCTGCACCCAGGACGCCATTGGCCATTACTCTGCCCACCCTGCTCCAGAGCGAAGCCTGCCTCCTTCCACTTTGCCTCACCGGGGCAGGTGCTCCATGTTGGCTGAAGGACAGAGTCAGGGGATCCTTTAGCAGGCTTGGCCTTGACCCACACTGCTGTGGGCCTCTGCTGCTGTTCTCTGCCTCTCGGCATCTGATTCACCAGCACGAATGATTCTGTCCCTGCAGAATCATCCCCAAGCTGCCCAGGCCTCTGTCACTTTGTGCCTGGTGGTTGCAGCGGCCACAGGGCTTCCTTCTGGACTCCTAGCATCCACCTGTCCCCTACACCTCATGCTATTAAATCAAAAGCGGCAGTGTAACTACCCCTCGAAACTCTTTTGTGGCTCCTGTGACATTCAGTGCAGAAGCCAAAGTCTTCCTATGGGGCCCATGTGGTCTTAAGGTCCTGCCACGGCTGGCCCTGCCCTCACCTCTTGGATTCAGCGTATGCCCCTCTTCCTCTCCTCTGGCCACGGTGGCCACTTTGCTGTCCCCAGGCAGGTGACTGCATTTCATCCTTGCAACCCTGGTACTCATGTGTGCCTCAGTGGGACTGTGCCCACAGACACCTGTGTCACTTCCCTCTGGAGTCAGAGGCCACCTCCTTCTTCTGTGCCACCCTCACAAGTGATCTGAGCTCAGGCGGCCAGGCCTGGCCACACCCCGCCCTCCTCCCCTCCTTCTGATGGCATCACCATCGGACACAGTAGACATCTCTTCATGGCCTCTTTCTCCCTCTCGTCCAAAAGGGACAAATTGTCCTCCCCACACTGTCTGCTCACCTAGGACTGGCCTGGCCTGTGTTCAGCAGAAGGCCCGCCTGCACAGAGCCAGCCTCCCTGTTCCGATGCCGCCCAGTCTTGTCTTCTGGCGTCAGACCTACCCGGGCCCCTGTTGGACCTCCTAGCCCAATTTCTGTACCTTAGAGCCCAGCCCTCTGTGCCCAGCAAGGCCTCTGCACCGCATGCTACACCTGATGGTGACAGCCCTGCAGCTGCCCACGCTTCACAGCCCCGGTCATACCTTCTCCAGCCTCTGTGTGCTGTTCCTCAGTGCGTTCTCCAGCTTTTCCATCTGATGGGTGAACAACAGCCTCATCTGTATGGTGAGGGACTGGTTTTTCTGGGTGCTGTAGGAAGGCCCCAAGGTGGGGGATTCTGGGCTGCAGGGCTGAAGCTCGGGCACCCAGAAGGTGTAGCTGCACTGGCCATTCTTGAATTGATACTGCACCTTACCCTTGAGTGCCTGCTGTCCCTTCTTTTGGGCTGTAGTCATGGCGGCCACGAGGAAGAGGAGGCTGCCCAGCAGCATGGCTGGTCGGGAGAGCATCCAGAGATGTGAGATGGGCTGAAGAGTCCACTCAGAGCCCCCACTGGCTGTCTTGCCTGCTACCCAGCCTTGTGCCTGGGACACGAGTGTGAGCTGTGTCCCTGAAGGGACAGGTCCGTGGAGGTCCTATAGCTGCAAACTCCTTTGTGGCCAGCTCTGTCTGTGGCTGTTTATACTGCAAGTCCCACAGCTCTAGGGCTTCCTGGCCTCTGCTCCCCTCAGGCTGCCCCTCACCTCTGCTCTGGTCCCTTCCTTTCTCTTCCTCTTGCCCCCAAGCAGTCACATCGGCTACTCTGCCCACCTTGCCTCTGAGGCCTGAGACTCCAATCTGGGCCTGGCTTTCCCGGAGTGGTGGAAGGAGAACATGTGGACACAGGCACACAGCACACAGCACACTGCACAGCACACAACACACAGCACACAGCACACTTACAAGTCCCACAGCTTCAGACGCAGGGCTTCTGTGCTCCCTTCCTGGCTCTGCCTCTCTGTCTCTCCTCCCAGCCCTGCCCTCCAAGGCTGGGTTCTCAAGTTTCAGCCCCTAAGCTTCCCCTTCTCAGTCTCTCCACCTTCCCCTTGGGTTCCCTGTTAGCTTGGACCATGGGCAAGGGCAAGTGACCCCTGGAGAGCACAGGGAGGGCAGGGAAGCCTGGGTATAGCTGCAGAGAGGCAGCCTAGCCGTGTGTTTCTGGAGACAGAGAAGTGAGTGCACCAGTGTGGAGCTGGTTCCTGTCCCCACTTCTCCTCCAGGACCTGGGGATGCTGTGTACCCTGGTGTGGCCCTGACCAAGTTGCTGTGGCAGTGATAAGTTGTCATGTCCTGGGGTAGGTTGTCCTCCGGCTGGCCTGGGGTGATGACCCATGGGGAGGAAAGCTTGGGGTATAGTTGTACCTTGGACAGGCTGTGCACCCTTTCAGATGCACGGGCCCTACGCCCTGCTGCCCCGGGGGCCAGGAGCCCTCACTGGGCAGCTCTACCTCTCCCTAACCTCTAAACCTAGGGAGCCCCCATCTCTTGCCTGAGGACTGCATGTGGGTCTGCACCCTGGGGGCTGTGGGATTTCCGCTTTGTTCTTCAGCATCTGGCTCCACTAGCCCTGTGCTTTGGGCGAGAACCCTTGTGTCTCTAGGCCTTTGTTTCTCTTACACTGAGAACACCACCCTGCTCACCTTGTAGGGCAGGAGAGGTAACTGAGATAGGGCAGTGCAGCGCTGCGTGAACATGGAGTGACTATTACTGTGCTCTGACTGTGACCCCGCGCCCAGCCCACAGAATGCAAACCCCCCTAGGACAGGGCTTCCTGCTTGGGGCCTGGGCGCCTCTCTCCCTGCTCCTTTTCTGGGATCCTGGGCTGACCACCGCTCAGTATTGCCTCTTTCCTTTTGTTTTCCTGAATCCTGATAAATTTCTGAATGGGCAGGCTGCTTAGGGGAACTGTGGAACCAGGAGTTCATCAGGGAACAGAGGACACTGCGCCAGGTGTGGGGCTCTGACCAGAAGAGGAGCTGCCGCTGACCCCAGCTGCCATGTCTCTGCCACCCAGTGCTACTTTGCTGTCTTCCCTGCAGATGGCATTCTGTTTTACAAAAGAAAAATTAAACCTTGCTCAGAGTAGCTGAGTGACTTGTCTAAGGTCACACAGCCTCAAGGATTTGACCATGAACTGAAGAGGGAGGAAAGTTCAGCCACTCTGGGCTGCCCCACTGCCATTCCCTCCCTGCTCCTGGCTTGGCCCCTTCAGCCTTGCCTTTGTGTTTGTGCTTTGGAGATAGAGTTCTCACCATGAGGTAGGTGTGGGGGGTCTTGCAGTGGCACCCAGATGACAGTGGGAAGCTTCCAGCCTGGAGGTGCATGCACACATGCTGATGGATGGATGGATGGATGGATGAATGAAATATGACTTGCTGCCATGAACTTGGCTGGACCTGTGCCTTTGTGAAGCCACCATACTGGAGACACCAACAGGAGAAATCAGGGACACTCAGGTGTGACAGATGAGGGAGGAAGCCTTTGGAATGACCCAAGCTCAGTGACCATCTGATGGCTGAATCACCAGAGACTCAGGCAGGGCTTCCAAATTGGGTTGCTCCAAACTTCTGGCCCCCAGAACCCTTCGGTATTTCCTTTCAAGCCGTTAAGTGTTGGGGTAACCTGTTGGCAGCCATAGTAATTGGAGTAACAGGGATGGAGAGGCTAGGGCATGTGGACAGCAGTGCTCTGGACAGAGTCACATTTCACTCACTCATTTGTTCATTGTCTTTCAAGACCAAGTTCCAAAAGGTACAATAGATACAGTGAAAGGGAAAGAAACTGCTCCAAAGGAAAGAACAACTGGGATGGGAGAAAAGAGAAAAGAAGGGGAAAAAAGATATGTGTGTGTGTGTATATATATATATATATATATATATATATATATATATATATATATATATATATATATAAGATAGTTAAGGTAATTGTACTGCTAATTTCTATTAGTTCATTGACTGGAACCATTAGTGCTTATATTGTCTGACTAGTTTTGCATGTCTATATCTGGTAATCTGAGCAACTGCTTCGAATATAACAATATGCAATATCATAGAATCAGAGAACGATATCACCTTGTTTTGAAGTTCTGTATAGTTTTTACTCTTTTTTTTTTTGTCTCTTTAAAACAAGCTTTGGAAGTTAAGCACTCTCACATTGTCTGGTCTAATGATGCTCTATCACCATCTTAAATTCTTTTTCTTCTTTTTGTTTTTTTTGAAACAGGGTCTTGCTATGTATTGCAGGTGGGCCTTGAACTCACACTATGTAGCCCAGGCTGGCCTTGAACCAGTGGTGATCCCTATACCTCAGCCACATGAGTGCATGAGTGCTGGGATTATAGCTATGCACCACTATACCATGCTGCCATCTTAAATTCTTAATAACTTGGAAGCCAAGGATTCTCTGCTTGTTGTGATTAGGCAGCCAGTCCTGCCCAGAATCCTGAGCCTCTCCCTCCCACCCTTGCCGCTGGCCTGGCGTCTCACAGACCTGTTCCTCCTCAGTGATCCCTGAATACACTTTTCAGTCTGCACCTGTTGCTTATTCTGGGTGACCTAGGTCAGACTGTCTGGATTGGAATTCCGGCTGTCCCATTTGCTCTTGGGTGTCAGTTCAGCTAAATTGCTGAATCTGTCTACCTCAGTTTCTCCTTCTGTCATGTGGTGTTGATAATAGTAATTGCCCCGAAACCTTGTTAAACAGGTTAAAAAGCTGATTTTGGGGATAAGATGGTATCTCAGTGTAGTTTTAATTTGCATTTATCTAATGGCGAGCAATGTTGAATATTTTTTCATATATTAAGTGGCCATTTATACTTCTTCTGAAAAAGGGTGGCTATCATCAAACAGTCTATTAATAACAAATGCTGGAAAGGATGAGGAAGAAAGGGAACTCTTTTACATTATTTGTGAAAATGTAAATTAGTACAACCGCTATGGAAATCAGATTCCTTAAAAAACTGAAAATAGAAATTTCACTTGACCCAGCTATCCCTCTTCTTGGTGTCATCCCAAAAGAATTAAAATCATCATGTTACAGGGATACAGGCAAAGCCATGTTTACAGCAGCACAAATTGTATTAACTAGGTCTTAGAAACAGCATATATGTCCATCGGCAGATGAATGGGTAAGGAAAATGTGGTATTTATGTACAATGGAGTAATTCTGCACCATAAACAAAGATAAGCTTGAGTCATTCATAGGCAGTGGACGCAACTTGAGAACATAATGTTAAGTGAAGTAAATCAGACACACAAGCATAAACATTGCTTGATTTCTCCTATATGAGAAATAGATATGTATATACAAATAAGGTGCAAAATAGAAGATAGGTAAATAGGAAGGAGTTCCAATATACCATCCGAGCGGCCTACTGACCCAGACGCCTCTGATTTTCCCAGCCCAGGTGCCCTGTATTCTGCAGAGGGTAGAGCAGCAGCTGGGGACCCAGGCTCCTTGATTCACCTCGGTGTCTGCAACCAGCTCTCAGGGTCTCTTTTATGAGGGCTCCGATCTAGTCATGAGAGACCCACCGTACATCCTCACCTTCTCCCGGGACCCGGTCCCTTAATACCATCACCCTGGGGATGGTTGTCAATACACAAATCTTGGCACACGTATTTTTGTGCGGTTTGCAAATTCCTCCAAATCCTGATCTCAGGCTCCACGCTGTTCCCTTGGAATTTGGACCTGGCAACATGGGATCAGCTTCCTGTTTATTTATGCCCTCGGGCAGCCTGTGTTTTTGCAGAAACTTTTGCTTGAAAATTGCCCCCCAACCCCACTGTGCCCTGGTGTGGTGCTCTGGGAAGACTTCTAGTCCTTCTGATCTGTTCCTCTGCCTTCAGAGGGAACAGTGCTTCTGCCAGGCCCCCATCAAGGAGCTCACTCTGTGGTTTAAAGGCTGGGCAGGTCCCCACCTTCTAGACTGCACGCCCTCACAGCCCTGTGGCCACAGTCTCAATGTCTGTTTCCTGTCTTCTGGCTGGGCCCAGAGAAGTCTCTGTGAGTGTTTGTTGAATGAATAATCCATTGTAGGGTGTGAGCTAGAGCCACAGCCTGAAAGCTGAGACTCAGGTTATCACCCTGTCCTTAGGGCAGGGAGAACAGGAAGCTTCTGTGTGGTGACTGATATCCAGACACTGAGAACAAATCAACCAACCCTCCAGGTTATTACCACTTTGCCAATCCATTTCCACCATGGAGTCAGTGTGGAGAATATGCTTGTAACCCTCCAAAGACTTTGGTTTTTGCTCAAATAACTTGGGCAAAAAGGGACCTTATTGCCCGGTATAACTGAAAAGTTTAGGGATTCTAGCTCCAGGTGCAGCTGGATCTATGTGCTTAGATGACTTTAGAAATATTTTTCTCTGGGCCTTTACTTTTCCTGTTGGCTCCATCTTCTTACAGTACC